GTCTGACGAACGTTATCCGAACTCCTCTTAAAGTCATCGGTCCAGACCGGTCGGTCCAACCCTGAAGACCGAACCTCGATGGCGTTCCTCAAGAGAAGGTCGTCTTCGGGTATCCACGGAGTCACCGGAGCCAGGGCCCCCATGTCCGGCGGCCGACTTCTCTCTCTGGTCTCTAGTTTCTCTCTCAAGGGAAGTTGAACGAAGAAGGGGTTTTAGAGAGGGAGAGAGAGGGTGAGGGTGTGTTGAGAATTACTTTTTTCACCGAGATACCTATTTTAAAAGACATAAAACATTCAAAATTTGTGCAACGAGACAATAGAAAATTTTATTTGCAAATCATTAAAATATTTTTAATGAATAATCAAATTTAAATTAAGTTAAATTAATTAATAAAGATGCAAATATTTAAATAAAAATTAAATTAGAACTAAAAAATGAAATAAATATAATTTAAAAAAGCCGAAAATATCCACCCATCAAATGTTTTTGTGGTGGTGTTGACCGTTTGACCTCGGAGGTAATTATTATGAAGATTTTACAAAATAAACAACATGGTATAATAATATGTGAAATGGTAATGAATGATTTATTAGAGATATATCTCTATATTATCTTGTTTTTTATTCAACATGGTTCACGACGATTCAATTATATCCACACTCAATTGAAAGGTAACAATTTAATTGTATCTCTCCTCTCCTGTTGGGTTCCCTTCGGGTTCCTAGCATGCGATCTCATCGTTCTAGGGTTTGGATTCTAGGTTTCACGCAGCGGAAGGAAAGATCTAAACCTAGCCAAACGTCACACAAAACCAATTGTGCAATAACCCGAACAATCGTTATATCGTCGTGGGATTCGAATACTTACCTCGTTCTTTCAAGATCTGGAAGTATCAATCGATCCAGGGCCTGTTTTAATCACCAAGAGTTGAAAGCACAACTCCTCTACACGTATCCACACCGGCGGGATGAATTCCAACACTTTGGAACGTATCTACTAGGATTTGTGAAGAGAAAACGATGTTCTTGACTTGGAATCGATATTCCAATCACTAGAACTCAAAATCAAGCTTCTCTAAGCTCTAATGAGTGTCTTTGACGTCTGAGGTTCTTTTTCTAGGGTTTGTGGTGGCTCTCCTTATTAATTAGAATTGTCCAAAACCCTTAAAACGTGAAATAGGAAATATGCCCGAAAGTCGGACCGTCCGGTCTAGGTCTTAGACCGGACGGTCTGGCTTTCAACGCAGAACGGACGGTCCATAACTACTCATAAAATGGACGGTCTGTACGTCTGGACCGGACGGTCTGGTGCT